TTCCATAGTTAGGAGTTCAGACCGTATATTTGTATCACTGAAGCTGAATTTTTTCTCTGCATATATTTATTATTGGTATTGTTTAGGGTGGAGCTCTCGGAGCATAGTGGGTTACACATTGGTCTGCTAATTGCAAGGTCAGAAATTTGTATCTACCAACTGTTCTGCAGGAGAAAGATAAGGTTTTCTGCTCTGATAAATATTTAAAGCCTCAGAAACCCTATATAGGGTCATTTTGGGTCAGAGCCACAGCAGCATTATTTTGGGTAGATTCTGGCAGAAGGGCTTAAGATAAAAATGCCTTTGATATACTACCTAAATTTGAAATTCAAATCTATGTTTAGAAAGGCCATTTTGGTAGCAGTATTGCAAAGATTTTTGTTGTTAAGTGCTGTTGAATCCGTTCTGACTCGTAGCAACCCAATATAGGGTTTCCAAGGAGTGGCTGGTGAGTTTGAACCACCAATGTTGTGGTTAGACGTCCAGTGCTGATTCTATAGAGCCACACCAGCAAGGGATTTACAATCAGAAAACAGGAGCAGACAGATAAATAGGAGTCTGACAGTATAGTGTAGGGAGGGAGGATGGTAAAGTGCAAATGAACGCATTGTCAGTGAATGGAAGGGAGGGTATTTTGAGGATTTTTTGATGAATAATTAATAGGACATGGAAATGGTGGTAAAATGATTAAGTATTTAAGTACTGAAGCTGAAAGTATGAAGGTTCAAACTCACTTAGAGGTGCTTGGGAAGACAGGACTTTGATTTTAGTGTCTTGGTAATTATAGTGTCTTGGTAAATACTGGTACAATAATTGAAAGAATGGTAGCTAGCATTGTGTGAAATTAATGAGTTATGACCTGGATTTATTGAAAGTGTATGGTAGACAGTTTGAAATATTTTTCATTAACATGGTTCATAAGCTCAGATTGGTAGTATTCTGCATATGGGTGATAGTTGAAAACTTGGAGTAGTTTAGTACGGTGTGGTCTAAGAGTAAGTTTGAGACAGGTGGTGTGGACATAGCAGTTGTATGAGAATTCCCTGAGACACTGGGTATATCTTGACAGTGGTCCTGTATGGTTGACAAGGACAGGTGTCCCTTAACTGCTGAGGGCCTTAGCTAATGAGAAACCACACATTTTTGGAATATGGTCTGATCAGAGTGTTAGGACTGTACAGACTTTTGTAGATACAAATAAAAGCAGACAGAATATGCCTAGAATATGACAGAGGTCACCAAAGTTGTGTGTGTAAAGTCATTTATAGATTGAAAATGTTTAAATTATGTAAGTAGTCATTACATGAAAATTTAAAACCTTTTAAATTTTTATTTAATATTTTATAGATTAATAAGGACTTTGATTTGAGTTGTAAGTCAAAATCCTTTTTTGAAGTAATAAGGAAATAGGGCTCTCAGTCTGACTCAGTTTTAAAAGTGAATTTGAGTAGCTGAACAGGGAGGACACAATTCAGATGTACAGAAATGTAATAGGATAGAAAAGTCACCAAAGCTCGAGATTAGCAGATGGGTCAGGAGGAAATGAACAGACTCATTCACTGCTAAACTGTGCTTTATTGTTGTTAAGTGCTAGTAAGTCGTTTTGACTCATAACAACTCTGCAGATAATTTCCAAGGAGCATCTGGTAGATTTGAACTACTGACTTGTGGTTCGTTTTCCAGTGCTTATCCTATAGCACCACATCAGTGCCTTATCATTTTCCATAAGAAACAAGGTCTTATATTTCCTAGACAGCTTTGGGATTAGTTTGTGGTTGGGGCTGAGATTAACCGTGACAAGTAGCATTTGGGTCTTTGTCAGAAATTATTACAGAATCATATTGGGATGTATTCTAGTCAATAGAACTATTTACTAATCTATGTTATTAACTTTAGTAAATTTTTTTCAAAGCTATAAATGTATCCTTAATAAATAAATAATTACTTGGTGAGTCTGGCTTACAATAGATATCAATGCAGGAGTGTAAATATGCTTTAAAAATGGAATCAGATGGAAGAAAAATCACTGGTTGTTCTGATGAATCATGGCCTCCAGGCTCTGTGCTTCTTTAAATGGTTAGGGCTAGGCTCTTCCCTTCCGTTACATAGAGATTTATAGTGAAGTCTTAACCTGCCATAGTCCTGCAGGTTCAGTCAGAAATGGGAACAAGTGAGACATATGGGAGTTTGAAGTAATGATAAAAACCTTGCAGTGTTATTTTGTATATGATTAAATGTAATGCTATGCCAGGTGGCATCATTGATGGACTCGGGGGTGGCAGCGGTGGTGAGGTTGGCCCAGGATCGAACATTGTTTCGTTCTGCTGTGCATGGAGTCGCTATGAGTCGGTTCCGACTCGATGGCACCTGACAACAACAACAACAAATGTAATGCAATACATTAGGAGGGAAAAGAAACAATACTACATACAAATAGAAGATTTGACTGTCTATTCACCTGAATAAAGGAAAACGTTTCAGTATCTCAACCTACTGGATTGAGGATGACTAAATACTGACTTAGTATTATGTTTGTCCTTGATAGCTCTTAACATGAGAATCATTTAAAATGTGTTTTATCTTTTACTCCAGAATTCTTGTTTCTTCTATATCAAGAGAAATATGATATACAAAAATCCCTCCATTTGCTTCTAAAGGCTCAGTTTTTCAAAATACCCCACCATTAAGAACCACTCAAGCTCAGTATAAATAAATAATGCAGACAAAGGAAAAGTATTTTAAGTCAAGAAACATCCTTTAAAAACACTTGTTTCAAACCTGTCTTAAAAAGCAAAAGCAAATAACAAAGAAAAGCAGTATTCAAGATTCTGTGCTATTATAAGATCATGGCAGTGTTTCTAACTCTTTGATTTGTTGTTGAAAATATTTTAAAGTGATAATCCTTGCTGTTGGAACAGAAAGGAACCAATTTAGAATTGTATGTATAGTCAAAGTTATATGGATAATTTGGGTAGGAAAAAGTGTTTAAAAAATTGTTGGTATGCCATTTGGTAAATTTTATACTTCATATGTAGAAAATATAACTTCTGGATTTTACAAATTATTTTTCTTCTAAAGATAATTTTTCCAGTCATAAGTTTAGAACTTCTGATGATAATATCTTATTGCAAATTGTAATTTCAGGTCATAGACAAAACTACAATAACTTTGGAAGTCCAACTAAAAGATAAATAGAGCTTTTTATACTCTTTTGAAATATTCCCAAGTACTAAATTGCCCCTGATTTTAATTTTTCACCATCAATCACTCCTTGCGAATAAAACCTCTTTAATGATCTTTATAGTGATTGGTCAAAATGTGGCAGTGGCATTGGCAGTATTAACTCTTGAATTGTTTTGACATTAGGCTTAGACTATATATAAGTAATTTTTTTTTAGCTATCTTACAAACCAGAATATTGTCAGGAGTGACTCAAGATCACAAGCAATTGCTCTAATATTATTTCATTAAATGAAAAAGCAATGGGAAATTATGGCATGTTTCTGGACCATGAATATCAACTATTTACACATCTTCAATGTAGCTTTACTGAGGAGCTATTGGTACCACTAAGGGTGGTACCAAGACCCACTACCACTGAGAGTAGAACTGCTCGATAGGGTTCCTAAGACTGTAAATCGTTGTAGAAACAGACTGCCTCGTCTTTTCCCACAGAATACTGGTGGATTCAAACCATCTGTCTTGTGATCAGTAGCTCAACTGTTATCTCACTCACCACCAGGGCTCCTTAAGGGTTGGTGAACTCACTGCCAGCCAATTGGTTGAGACACATAGTGACTCTATATAGGGTTACCGAGACTAGGAATCTTTATGGGAACAGACAGTTTCATGTTTCTGCAACAGAGCTGCTATTGGATCTGAACCTCTGATCTTATAGGTAGCAGTCCAGTTCTTATCCTGCAGTACCACCAGAGCGCCTTAAGTGTTCGTAGTGTCTATCTAGGTGGTGTGGCTTCACAAGGGGGAAAGAGAATCAAACTCAAAATCAGTCCAAAGTCGATTTCTGTGAAGTGAAAGTCAGACATGCCTCCCCACTTCTTTCCCCTCCTTTGACACCAACCATCCCCCTCACAGCACTCTCTGCTTCACATCTGGTGTGTTTTTGCAATGGTCATACAGGGCTCATAGCAGTGTTCATGATTATAGAGTTTATTAGGGAAGTGGACAAGGGACAATTCAGCATCAGAAAAACTCAGGATGCAGCAATTCTCTAGTCAGGAATGCCTCTTGTCTGCCATACTGCAGGCATACCTCAATCTTGTCTTCAGTCTCTCAGTCATGTGCCCCCTTGGCCTCTGCCCTGCTCAGACAAATGTTACACAGCTCTGTTGAATGACTAAAGGGCACATTCTGCAAGCCAGTCTCCTGCTTTTAGGCACTCAACTTTATTGAGTCTCTGGGCTTAGAGCCCGCAGCTGCTCTGTCTCTCCATGCCACTGCCTCTGCCATTGCTTTCGCTGCCTCTGATTTTCTATGTAGGGATTTCACACTCCACTCATGCACTTTCTACTGGATGGTCCTGCGGTTGTCTGTTCTTGTTTCTGAAATGGCTCCTTTGAAACCTAGCTGGATGGCAAACCTAACTAATCTCAGTCTTAGAGTTCTGTACACCTTAATTGCATGGTCTCACCAAATCACCCGGTGGGAGCCAAGAAGACACTGGATAGAAAAGCAAATGCAAGGTACAACAACTGCTAACCATAAGGTTGCTAGTTCCAAACCCACCAGCCACTCCTTGGGAACTCGCTGTGAGTGTGAGTTTGCACTTAACAACAACAAGAAAACTAAAAAAAAATGAACCTTTTTTATACATCAACCACTGAGAGTTTAACAGAGCCAGGATTTGCTTCTATATTCCTGCATTCTGTTTCTTGATGATAGGTTTGCAAAGGAATACTGTAAATAAGATTGTAAAGAGCTTAGTAATCATGAGAAAGATCAGCATATCAAAGGACCCCTATCTTCTGCTTGTCTTTCAGGGCATATGGGTCAGTACATATATATTTACAATATGTTTTGCTGCCAATGTGGGACTGCTGTTTGGTGTTGCCTCTACCATAGCTATAGTGATTGGACGTTTCCCAAGGTAAGAGTATATAATACTGCTAACAACTTGTAATTCTTGCAGTATATGAAACTATTACAATCTCATGTTTTACTTGATATTATTAGACCATTGTTGTTGTGTTGTGAAATGCCATCGAGTCAGTTCCGACCCATAGCGACCCTGTATAGGGTTTCTGAGGCGCAGCTGGTGAACTTGAACTGCCAACCTTGCAGTTCAAATGGCTTTGCAGTCTGGCTCATTAACCCACAGTACCACACCAGGAGAGACACAAATACAAAAATGTTCTATCTACATATAGTATGTAACAATATTGGTCTTTATGAAGAGAAGTATTTTGTTATTGCTCTAAAATTGAATATATACCCTCCTGGTACAACAGTTCAGTACTTGGCTGCTAACCCAAAGGTTGGTGATTTGAACCCACCCTGAATCTCCACAGGAGAAAGACTTGGCAATGTTCTCCCATAAATATTTCAGCCTAGAAAACCCTATGGAGTCCTGGTGTGGCACTGTAGGATAAACACTTGACTGTAGGTTTGAACCACAAGGTCGGTGGTTCAAATTCACCAGCTGCTCCTCAGAAACTCTATATAGTGTCGCTGTGGGTCAGGACTGGCTCGATGATAACAACAACAGCCACAAAAAAAACCCTATGGAGAAATCTGTTAGGTCACATGTCATCACTATGAGTTAAAATAGACTTGATGTTACCTAACAACAACAAAGGAGCTCTGGTAGTGTAGTGGTTACGAATTGGGGTGCGAACCACAAGGTCAGCAGTTCAAAACTACCAGCTGTTCCGCGTGAGAAAGATGAGGCTTTCTGCTCCTGTAAAGATGTAGAGCCTTGGAAACCCTGTACAGGGTTGCTATGAGTCGGAACCGACTCCACGGCACATAACAACAACAACAACAATAATTAAAAATAAATAAATTTGCCCAGTAGCAATATGCAATATCCATTAGCTATATATTTTTATATTTTAAGTGAAGGACTGCAGCAATCAATATCAAGAATGCACAAACCTTATAAAAATAGAATTATACATATTTAGAAAATTAAATAACCTAAGCAAGTGTTATTTTTGAGAAGTGAGATTAATCCTTAATAAAAAGATTTTTAGGTAGTTTTTTGAAGAACACATTCTGTCTCTTCATCTCTTTATTCAGCAACTGTATACCATTCCTCTATTTTGACCAATTTTCTTCCCTTGTTCCAAGTGCTTATTCATCATCTGATAATTCTTTACTCATTTCTCATCCTCTGTTGAAATTATTGATGAAATAATAGATACTTAACATTTTTTAGTTTTACCTCTGTAGCCTACAGAATTGATGTACTCAGATTCATTGTTATCTGTTTCTAGCTTTAATTTAATAGCTTTGATTCCATCTTTATTTCTTTTCCTCTAAAATAAGAATTTGTAAATATGTTTTCTTTCTAGTCTTTTCTCTTTTGCAAATCTTTTTTTGCTAATCTACTCTGTTGCTGGAGATATGGGTCTCTGGGTACTCAGATGAGGTAAATTACACTGGTTAATCTCTGCTTTGTTGCCCTCTTTGTTTTTGTGTATTCCTGAGCTTTCAAAATGACATAGATTTACCAGCGTTTTATTACCAAATGGGTCAAGAATCTAAACCATTTCAAACACATCCAGTTGTTAAGGTAAAATAACATCCTTTTTGTTTCTTCATTTTTATATTAGAAAATGACATATTATTTTCTGTTTTCCTTAATTCTAGAGCAAAGACTGTGAGTATGAAAAACACAAAAGAAATGGAATTTAAAGTGAAGACAGAAACAGATGGTGTAAGTTTAGCTTCCTTTTTCTTCTGTGCAGTTATTGATATTTTTATTAGATAGTTTCAAGATAATATAAGAAGTAGATAAATCATGACATTTAAAAGAAGATAATTCTTTTAATGAGATATGCACTGTTAATGACATATATGGGTGACCATGCAGGAAAAAAATACAACCTGCCTCATATTAGCATTAATTCAAGACTGTGTCATAGTTTATATAATTATAGTTCACAGTAAACTCATGACCCAGATATAATTAGATATTTGGAAATGTCCTTTCTATTTCTTTTTGTGTAGAACAGGCAAAGTATGCTAACAATCTACTCTGCATTATATGATGGAGGAAGGTAGAGAGCAGGGAAGGGGATAAAGCAAAGCAGCTTCCTGGTGATGTTCTTTTTTTATCTTGAGCTCATGAAACTTTAGCAGAGGGTCACTAGGTCCAGTGGTTATGCCAATAGGATCAGTTTCTTGCACAGTGGATTCCTTCTTAAGGAAACACCTTACATAAATTGTCTTACTCTGTCTATTCCTAGGCAGGACTATCAATGTGTTTGAGTTTAGTTTCTTATTCCAAGAGATGACCAAAACAGTTTTAAGTGAAGAAAAATGATGTTGATTTGAATTTTCTGCCAATATCTAAAAATTGGCCTCACATTGAACCTACTTTATAAATGTTTGGTTAAACTTTTTCCTTTGTTTTTCATATTCACTTATTTCAGTATTTCACGATTCTCCTCAGAACAGAAAGAACTGATCTTCATTAGAATAACTGATATTAGGGTTTTTTACAAGTAGACTAGACGTAGGAAGTAGCATCAGGAGCCCTTCTGTGATAGTCAGGGCTTAGGGAAAAGACTGACTTATGTTTGTCCGTGTGGTAAGGTGTGCTTCCCGGAGCACAATCTGACCTCAGAGTTTTGGAGGCTGTGTATAGCTGACGTTTCCACAAATGCTGTCTTCCTTTATTTTTCTATGCCTTCTTTTCTTTTCTTTAAATCCTACATAGGAATTTAGTGCTCATACAAAGTCCTAGACTGATGCTGTAGGCACTGTGTCTTCTGTGCTAATTGCAAGGTTAGCAGTTCAAACCCAACAGACACTCCATGAAAGAACGGTGAGGTTGTTTGCTTCCTTAATGATTTACAGCCTCAGAAACCTACATATGGACACTATGAGTCAGAATTGACTTGATGGCAGTGGATTTTTGTTTGTTTGTTTGTTTTGGTTCTAAAGCTTAAACAGAGTCCTGGTATGCTGCTGTAGGGTGAACACTGGACTGTTAACCACAAGGTTACTGGTTCAAATCCACTAGCTACTCTTTGGAAGCCCTATATAAGGTTGCTATGAGTCAGAACTGACTCAGCAACACTTATTAACAGCAAAACTTAAACAGGGAGCATGGTAGCTCTGTAGGATAAACACTTGACTGAGAACTACAGGTCAGAGGTTTGAGCCCACCAGCTGCTCCATAAGATAATGATGAGGCTTCCTGCTCCTGCAAAAGATTTACAGCCTTGAAATCTGATACAAGGTCTCTATGCGGCGGAACTGACCCCATGGCACTTCGCAGCAACAAAGCTTAAACATCACTTGTTTATAAATTGTCTCATCCTTACCTTCCTTTGTTGTTGTTGTTATGAAGTGCCATCAGGTCAGTTCCAACTCATAATGACCTTGTATGGGATTTCCAAGGAATGACTGGTGAGCTTGAACCATCAACCTGGTGATTCAAACTCACCTTGCAGTTCAAACCAACCTTCCAGTACAGCGCATTAACCCACAGTGCCACTGGACTACATTTTCCCAAGAAATTTCAGTTTTCTTTCCTCCATACTGAGAGACCAATAGTTTCAACTTAGATGTCTATTCATGAGCTTTAAAGATCTCAGTCCCTACTTACTATAGTAGAATGTGAAATATTGTCCTTGTGGATTATTTTATGTCAGTTGACCAAGGTGTCCCCCAAGTCTATTGTCCTGAGGTCCTAGGCCCAGAAATTCATTCTCTCGTGGTGTTTGGTACTATCTAAGAATTTTTCATAATTTTGCCTCCTGTATGCACTGACATAGTCATAGGTATGTTAACAGAAAATATAAGTACCCATGTACAAATATCCTCTGTAAAATCTTACATGTTTGTGGATCTACTCCGTTTCCCACTCCCTTATCCATTTAGCCTGTAGATTTCTGTTATGTCAGAATTTTTTATTGAAGTTTTTTATATAAAAAGTTTACCTTTGTTCCCTTTGATTCTTGCACTCCTCCCCCTGAATTCCCTCCTTTCACTCTTCTAAACTCCCTCTTATTTTATATTGCCTTTCCTGTAATCCAAGTTAATACATGTCTACTCTCTAGCCCATGACTTACTCCCCTTTCCTCTTACCTTAGCAATCATTAAAGAATGTTTCTTTAATATGAAAACTTTTTTTGACTTTTTATAATAGTGGTCTCATACAATATTTGTCCTTTTGTGATTGACTAATTTCACTCAGTATGATGTCCTCTAGGTTCATACATGTTATAAGGTGTTTCACAAATAAATCTTTATTCTTCAACATTGCATAGTCTTCTACTGTATGTATATACCAAAGTTTGTTTATCTGTTCTTTCATGGATGAGCATTTAAACTGTCTCCATCTTTTTGCTATTGGTAATAGTGCTGTGATGAACATGAGTGTTCTATTTTTCTTTCACCTCTCCTTCACATGAAATATTTTTTCCCATTTTGGGAATTTGCTTCTCATTGAGTGATTTAACCCAATTGAGAATTTATTTTCTGAACATATTATATTACTATTATTTAATAAGACTGGAGATCACATTTCTGCAAGACCAGTAACCTATTCTGTCACATGCATATGAGATGATTGAAAATACCATGGCTTGGGTCAGGTGCATCTTAGTCCTCAGAGTGTCATATTTGTTCTTTTAATGCTTTCAAGAGGTCTGTTCTGACGTTATGAGTCCGAATTGAGTTGAAGGCACCTAACAACAAATAACAACAATGACCTATTCATTGACACCATAGAATGGTCAACTATTTGAGATTTAAAGGGTGTATGTAGTTTACCTAAGGGACAGTACATAAACCAGGAATTGCCCGAACTTCAAGTTTGATTCAGAAGAGAATTTAGAATAAGAGATAATCATTGCTGATGCCAGTTGAATCTTGGCTGAAAGTTGTTGTTGAGAACTGTTGAGTCGGTTCTGACTCATAGTGACCCTGCACAGGGGTTCCGAGGCTGTAAATCTTTACAGGAGCAGAAAGCCTCATCTTTCTCCCACGGAACAGCTGGTAGTTTCAAACTTCTGACCTTGAGGTTAGGAGCCTGATTCATAACCACTGCGCTACCAGAGCTCCTTTGACTGACAGGCTGAAAGTAGAGAATGCAAAAAGGATGCTTATATGTGTTTTATTGATTATGCAAATGTGTTCAATTTTGTTGATCATGACAAATTGTGTGTAATTTTAGAAGAAAGCAAAAAGTTTATTGTGTTGAGCAGACCTTATTTTCATTGCAGTATCAAGATATTCATTTTTTGAATTCAGGTGTAGAAGATTCTGGAGATACTTAAAATCACAATGCTTTTTCCCAAGCAAGGAACAGTACCTGTACACTCTGCTGCATTTAATGAAAGAGGATTTCAGTAAAATAGAATATTTATAGAGAAGATCTGTAAAGTACATAGTTAGTCTCACTTTTTTTTTTAAGAGAGAATAATGCCCATTTCTCCAGAAATCTATTAGGGAATAATGCCCATTTCTCCAGAAATCTAAAGGCAATGTGTAAAACACAGATTAGATGAAGCCTTTACTCTGTACCCTAACATACTACTGCAATTTTCCACATCTGGCTTCTGCTTTGTAGGTAACTGGAAAAGACATGCCCCCTTGCTTTCAAAATCATCACCGTAGAGTTTAAACTTTGCAGACTACTCCTGAGAAGCATGGACCTGCCTAAGTAGTTTCAAAGCTGATTTTTGTGGCTTATTTTTAAAATAAGGTATCAGCGTTCAGTGGCATCCTGAAGGAGAGAGGCCTCTCCTTGATTCTCTGACTCAATACCACTATTGTGCCCCAAAGGATAGGCTGGCCCACATTGTTCCTTGCAAGGTGATAGATAGCAGTTTCTATATTATACACAGAAGTCAAATAGCATTTAAAGAATGAGAAATGTATATCCTCCAGACAATCTATCAATAACTGAGTTGATAAGGTCTAACTTACTTGAACTCCACCACATAATTTATTAGCACAAGTCTTATTATCTTATCCACTCTAGATCAAGACTGGGAAGACACAAATTAAAATAAAAAAGGTGACTTTACCAAACTGGACACATTACAAGCACTGTTTACATGGATTAACCACAATCACCCCACAAAATCAAGTCCATAAAAATTGACTGTTAAAATTTCACAATGGAATTTATTTATTACATAACTGTTCACATTATCCACTTTCCATGTTTTACTTTCCATTGTTGATTACCAAGAGAAAGTTTCCCTTGGGTGGTTTTTACCCATACTCTGACTACCTATGAACTCTGATACCAGAGTACTAATACTTTATTCAGAAAACAACAACAACAACTAGAGATTCCCTTGACACCCCTAAATTAAAATACGTTGTTGTTGTTATGTGCCTTGGAGTCGGTTCCAACTCATAGCAATCCTGTACAGGGTTTCTGAGGCTATAAATCTTTGTAGGAGCAGAGAGCATCATCTTTCTCCCACAGAACAGCAGCTGATAGTTTCTGCTGACCATGAGATTAGCAGCCCAATTCATAACCACTATGCTACCAGATCTCCTTAAATTAAAAATAGATAAATAAATAAATAAATAACGTTGTAGAGCTTAGTTCACAGCTTCATTGCTGTATTTTCCTCGCTTCCCTTTATCAGTGACGAAGGTGGTCACCAAGCAGAGCATGTATTCCCATTGAGTCTCAGTCTTGGAAGGGGGTTTGCCCTGAGGACACCCAACCACTTGGCTTGATGTCTCCTGGGCAAATAAATTGCTTGTTCTTGTAGTAATCAGTCCGTCTGCTGTTATTGTTTTGTATTTTTCCTGTTGGTCTTTCTTTTAAGAAGTATCTTTTGTTCTAGCTGCATTCATGAGCTTTCAAAATCCCAGTTGCCGCTCACTAAAGTAGGATGTAGAACATTGTACTTTGTGGACTGTGTGATACCAATGACAATGGTGTCCCCTGAGACTAGCATCATTATTTCATATAGTTTCTATCATCTCAATTTCTAGTTCAGACATCTGTTCAAAAGTCATGGAGAAGAATTGTATACCACCAATCACTGCCAGGAATACCTGGGACAACATGGCAAACACAGATGCCTTTATTCTGCAACCTTTCCTTCTCATTTTCTGCATCTCTTGTCAGCCTCCTGGCAATTCATTGTGACTAGGCCTGCTGCAAAAAGCCCTGACACCAACCATCTCTTACATGGCACGTTCTAATTCTCATCTGGGTTTGATAATTAATTGTGATGGCCACACAGAATTCAGATATGGTGTTTGTTAGAAAAGTTAACAGGTTATCATTCAGTGTCAGAGATGCTTAGGGCACAGTTCTTTCAGTAAGGACAGCCAGCCTTTCCTCCACCATGTCCACAGGCAGGCTTTTCCTTGGCCTTCAGTCTGGCCTCTAACCTGTCCCAGGTTGTTACAAAGCTTTTTTAATGTTGTGAAAAATGCCCAAGGGGCACACCATAAAAGTACATCATAAAACTCAACCCACAGGGGCTTGATTGTAGCTCCATGAGTCAGCAAATCTAGCTTCCTAATTAAGTGCCTGGAGGCATCTTACTCTGAAAATGAGCCTCCTGTCCAAAGGCATTCCAGCTTTCCTTGCTCCCTAGGCCTGGAAGTCCACCGCTCTGTGTGGTGCTGTGCTCCTTGGTTCTGCTGCTGCTGTTCTGTTACTATTCAGTTGTTACATTGTTCTCGCCCTGAGTTGAGGAGGTTCAGTGTGCAAGGATCTAGGGTTACACAGGATGAACTTCACTCTTGGCTCTTCTTGATGATAGTTAGACCCCCTCACCCCCTGCTTCTGAGATGATTACTTTATACCCATGTTAGAGGTCCAAGTGTTAACAATAAGTTACAACGGAATATCATTCTGTCAGTACCTTCTCCCACCTTTTCTTACCCAGGCCCATCAGGACAAAGTTGTTTGGTGACAGTTACAATGACTGTGGGTAGAAGAGTCATATGAAGTTATCCAGTATTTTGCTCCTGCCCAAAGTGAAATTATTTTCCTGATAGGACCTCTCTTTATTGTACCCCCCGTTAGAACTCTTAGTCAGTAGTCAAAGGAAAGCTATGTTGGTTAAGTAAATTATTTTTAAATTGGCAGATTGAGGGATGAGGTACATAGGCTGTTGCTAGGATGGATGACCCAGTAATATGGTAAGTATGGGTTTACTTGTGCTTGCTTACTGATCTATGAACAATTATATATCGAAGTAGAATATTTGCTGTCATAATGAAATTGTTCACTACAGAATAGTAAGTAAGCACAAGTAAGCCCATGCTGATCTTGTTTATTGGATTATCTGATACTGGCTGTTGCTTCCCAAAACCCATTCTGTAGGAACAAGGGCTATTTTCTGAAAAAATTCACACTTGTCTCATGATAGTATATTAAATTCTGAAAATAATTTTTAATAATGAAAATGTCAGCTAAGAGATTGCTCTCACAGTCAAGTGACATTTGAACTTGTTAGATTTAGACATGGTGGCTATAAGGATCCTCTTTTACTTAATTCAAAGCTCTGAATGCACCCCCTTTCTCCTCCAAAAGGAAACTCTGCAGCTGGTGAAAATTATCTCCGTAAACAACCCACTTGTTTTTCTGAATGCAAAAAAGTTTCATACTGATTTAATGAACTTAATCCAAAAGGAAACTTCCAGCAATCAACCATTTGATGATATCAACAAGGTAGGACGAGCTGTTTCATGACTCGAAAATCTTACTGCAGGTAACCCAACAATTTCATGATACTGAAAAATGTATATTATAATACAAGTGTACTGAGACCTCTTACCCCAACAGAACCTAATATTGCTTTAACTTTTTTTTTTTAAGATTTTTATTGTGTATTGAGTAAAAGTTTACAGGGTTGATCATCAGGTTTACATTCAACAAATCATTTACCTTGTTACATTACAATGATTATAATCCCCTCCATGTACCATCAGTTAACAATATTTCTCTCTCTATTCATTTTAGTTTTGTTTTGTTTATTTTTTTTAACACTCAGGCATATACAATATTTTACACTACCAAAGGGCACATTCTGCAAGTCTGCCTCCTGTCCGCCATCTCTTAGTCCCTCACTTCCCATGAATCTAGAGTCTGAGTACTGCTGCTCCCTCTCTCCATGTCCCCATCTCTGCCTCCATCTCTGGTGTCGCTGTTTCCCTGGATAAGGTCTCACTTTTCACTTGTACTCTTCTCCCTTGATGGTCCTAGGGTCCTTTGTTTCTGGACTGTAAGATTAACTACTCCCCTATTTTTGTTACAAAACTTCTACCTTTATAATTGTGACAGTCACAGTTAGTCATGATAACAATTACTCAGTACTGAATCTGCATTAACTTTTTAATTTGCTATTTTTGCAGAGAACATTTAGGTAACCACTCTTATTTGTTCCTTCCTTTAGTCAACATACAGGTAATGAACATGTGTAATTGCAATGTACTGTAAGTTGGAGAAGATTAAGTAAGATATGGTTTAAAGGACATTTTACGAAGAGAGAAGATGTACGTGAAGAATTCTAAAGGAGCTAGAATATGAAAAACAACTACAGAGACGCTTAGACTGCTGCCATTATTGTGATACCATTATTATAAAATGCTAGCATTCTTTATAGACTTTCCTAATAACAGAGATACTGAATCAAATATGAAGTAGCATGATTTAACATCAGAAACTGTCTGCATTGTAGTGTGGTATGAAGAGCATGAACTTAGGAGCTAAGCTACCTGGGTTTGCCATTTGCTACTTGTAGTTCCTAAGCTGAGTTGTTGAATGTTTTGTGCGTCAGATTCCTCACTTGGAATCGAGATGATCAAATAATTTAAGACATAAAAAGCACTTAGACTAGTGCCCAGCACTTAGTTAATACTATTAAATGGAGTCCTGGTGTGACACTGTAGGATAAAGCACTGGACTGCAAGGTCGGTTTGAATTATAAGGTCAGCAGTTCAAGCTCACCAGCTGCTCCTTGGAGACCTTATACAGGGTCGCTATGAGTCAGAACTGACTTGACAGCACTTAACAACAACAACTTTATTATTATTGGGAAGTGTGGTGGCTCCACATGATAAACACTGAACTGTGAACTACAAAGTCCATGGTTTGAGTCTGCCAGCTACTCCCCAGAAGAAAGATGAGGCTTTGTGATTCTGTGAAGATTTAAAGCTCTGGAAACATGATTCAGGGTTGCTGTGAATCAGAATGAACACCATGCCACTCAACAACAACAACTTATTATCATGGTTGAGTCCATGTTCTACTCTCTCCATGAAGCTTTCCTTGACAATTCCAGTAAAGCACTGTAGAATAAGGAAACCCTATACAGGGTCTCAGAGAGATGTAACTGACTCGACAGTATTTAGCAACAACAGCACTATTTCTTATTTCTCTTACACCTTTGAGCACATGCTATCTCCTAATGACTCAGGTAAATGACAGATCTTGCCCCTGTCTCTAGTGCCTCAGGAACTGTCCTGCAGTACATTCATGTCCCTTCCTACTTCAAGCCATACTATTTAAAATTGTCTTATATGCATGTGAAAGTTGAACAGTGAATAAGGAAGATGATAGAAGAATCGATGCATTTAAATTATGGTATTGGAGAAGAATATTAAAAGTACCATGGACTGCCAGAAGAACAAACAAACCTGTTTTGGAAGGAATAGAGCCTGAATGCTCCTTAGATCCCAAGATGGCAAGACTTCATCTCTCAATACTTCAGACTTGTTATCAGGAATAGCTAGTCCATGGAGAAGATCATCATGCTTGGTAAAGTGGAGGTTCAGCAAGAAAGAGGGAGAACCCTATAAGATGGATTAACACAGTAGCAGCAACAATGGGCTGAAGCATAACAAAAATTGTGAGGATAACACAGGATCAGATAGTGTTTCATTCTATTGTACATAGGGTTACTGTGAGTCAGAACTCAATGGTACCTAAAAACAGCAACTACTACTACTTCATGTTTATGCCTCTGGGCGTCATCCTGATCCATACCATAAAGGCTCATGTACAGAATTGTCTATGTAATTTATGGGGACCAGCATAAAATCAAAGTGTGTGTGCTCTTGTGAAAGACGTCAAACAGTTTAAGACAACGGCAGCAGAGCATTAAAGGAAACAGGAGACCCTTTTAAGCATAGGACATTTTACAGCTGCAGAGGTCACACACCCACAGAGCCAGACCTGTCTTTTCCCTCTCATTGTGCTCTCTAGCATTTCACTTTGATCCACATATCAGGAAGATAACCAGTGCCTTAAGGTTGAAGAGAGCTTGCTTTCATGCTGAAGGGAAATATGTATTTCTAGGCTTATTTTTTTTACATGTAATACCTCATGGTGATGTGAAGCTACATTATGATATTAGCTTACTGGGAAAATTTGTCCTGAGTTCCAGATAACCTAATTAACCAAAGAACGTTTTTGGTCTTACTTTTTTTCAAAGTTTGAATGACGTTTTGTGATGATATGCGATTTTGTAACCTTTATTTAGTAGAGTATGTGATAGAAGAGAAGATTCTTGCAACTGATTATTCTTCAAGTCTAAGTTTGTTCCAGTTTGTTTTCAGAAATTAAAAATTAATATAGCACATCCACTAAAAAACAAACCTTATTAACCCAGCCCTTTCTGAAGAAATGCCATATATCTTCCTTGGACTTCAGAAATTTGAGTCTAAAAATAAAATAGGGTCCCTTGGACTCATATTATTGGCAGGTAAGGACACCTAAAGGATTCTTCAAGCTTTATAATGGTGAAAAAGACATTGTTGAAAGAGAGTATTACCATAATCAAAACAATGCAAATGTTGAATCTATTAACTTAGCTTGAATGTAAAAGCATTAGGTCAATAACTACAAAGTCAGTGGTTCAAACCACCTGGTCTGTACATGAGGCAGTCTACTCCTGTAAACATTTTTCATTTCAGAAACCTTACATCGGGATGATATGAGTCAGAATTGACTCAATGGCAGTGAACTTGGATTTGGTTTGGGTTATTGAGAATTGGGAGCCCTGGTGTGGTGCTATGTAGTATAAGCACTGGTTCCGCAAGATTGGTTTGAACTGAAAGGTTGTTGGTTCACACTCACCAGGTGCTCCTCAGAAATCCTGTACAGGGCTGGCATGATCAGAACTTATTTGACAGTGCTTAACAACAACAAAACCAAGAATTGAGATAGAAATCTTAAATTCATGCTCTCTGAGGAGCTGAGGAACAACCAACCCTTACTCAAAACGGCTAAATGGATTGTCTGTTGTAACCTGAACCCTGGTGTGGTGCTATTGGATAAGCACTGGACAAGGTCGGCAGTTCAAATTCCCCAGTCACTCTTGAAAAACCCTATATAGTGACTATGAGTTGGCATTGACTCGATGGCACACAGCAACATTGCAGCATGGGTGCTCTTTAGGGATTTTGTATTATCGCTCTTATACTCTGTGTATGATATCTACTACTTTTTTTTTCTTTCTTATAATGGATTTATTACATATAAATGAAAGCCCAGCTGCAGGGTGGTGTTCTTAAATGCCAGTTCACACCACTGGCAGTGTTTCTCTGAGCTCCTCCTCCTAACTCACAAACTCTTTATTTTTTAATAACTGTATCCCAACACCTCTTTTTTAAAGAAAGTTTTTATTGTTAATTGAGTGATCATTTACATGGGAGAACATTTCGTTTCATTGCAATGATTACAATCCCCTCCATGCATCATCATTCAACAGCATTTGCTTCCAATCCCTCTTTTTTTTTTTAAAGCACTCCAGAATATATAACCATTCAAATAACCGAAGTGTAGACCCTGCACTCCAGACCCTTCATGCCCCACCCCACCCCTGACCACCAACACACAACCCCTTTCCCTCCTTGAGTCTAGAGTTTCCAACTGTTCCATCTCTGCACATCATCATCTCTGCCTCTATCTCTGGCATCGCTGCTTCTCTGGATAAGGCCCCGTACTCCGCTCTTCTCCCTTGATGGTCTTAGGGTGAGATCTACTACTTTTTATAAGGCCAATGCACTTATTTGGAGTCCTGGTGTGGCGCTATAGAATAAGAACTGGAACACAAGATTCAGACCTACCAGCTACTCTTTGTATACACTATACAGGGTCGCTATAAGTTAGGACCAATTCGATGGCACTAAATAATACAACAATATGCACTTATTCAGGAGTTCTGGTGTGGTGCTTTAGGATACGCACAGGACTACTCACTGCAAGGCATCCTGGTGTGTTGCTGTGGGATAATGCATTGGACCACAAGGTAGGTTTGAGCTGCAAGGTTGGGGTTCCAGTTCACTAGTCAGCCCTTAAAACCCCTTTACAGGGTCACCATGAGCCAGAACCGACTCGACGGCACTTAGCAGCAACAACAACAACTAACTACAAGTTCAGTGGTTGAAACCCACCCGTGGCTCCTCAGAACCTCTATACAGGACAGCTGTGGTTTGGAACCACCTCAAGGGCACTTGACAACAACAGCATGCACTTATTCAGACGTAGTTTTAAAGTACCAAGGCTACATTATGATCGTGACTGCAGTTTTGCATCCTCTTGTGCTTAGCATAGTGCCCTTCCAGTTCTCTGGCTGAAACCTGTATGCTCTGCCAGTGACTCATCTTCCCTTCTCTGACAGCTATGTTTTTGACAGACCAAAGTGAAGAAAGGGATATTTGGAACACCCCAGGGCTGAAAGAATCACATCCTATTCAAAACAGACAGAAAAAGGAGCCTCCGCTTTGTTATTCAATGGCCCTTCCTAAGTCTCATCACTAAATATCTTCAGTGGTCCTAATGTTTAATGGATTCATGTACAATATTATATAGGATGCAAATCTGCACATAATAATCACTATTTTCTGGCTTTGCTTTTTTCAAGAGAAGTTTTCATCTGTTTTTTATGCAAAATTTTCTTTTGCATAAACAAGGCACAAGCCTTTTTTATTTTTTATTTTTCTGTCAGTTTGTTGTTGTTGTTAAGTACCATGGAGTCGGTTCTGACTCATACTGACCCTGCATAGGGTTTCCGAGGTTGTAAATCTTTACGGGAGCAGAAAGCCTCATCTTTTTCCCGAGGAACCGCTGGTAGTTTTGAACTGCTGACCTTGAGGTTGGCAGCGCGACTCATAACCACTACGCTACCAGAGCTTTTTGTAAGTAGACTTCACTTTTTAGAACATTTTTAGATTTATAGAAAAAATTTATAGGTAGTACAGAACTCTCATACACCGTCCAGCACACTGAATTTCTCCTATTATTGCTATGGCGTAGTGAATGATCTAATGTCTCTTCTAGTCATGTAACTCCCACCAAACATCATTTCTGCACCCTGGATCTGGGTAACAGGCGGTAAGGGAAGACACTGATTGTTGTTGTTTAGTGCCATCCTGTATAGGGTTTCCAAGGAATGGCTGGTGAGCTTGAACCAGCAAGTCTGCAGTTCAAACTGACTTTGCAGTCCAGTGTATTAACCCACAGCATCACACCAGGATTCCAAGACACTGATATGATGACATAGTTCAGCTGTGCATGCTAGTTCATTGTAATTGTAAAAACTTGAGACTCTAGTGTAGGTTTAAAATGAGTCACTTCATAAATAGCACGGGGCATCTCACTACCATCAGGGAAGACCCACGGGTGGAGCGCATCCTTTGCACCCCAAGATCCATGTCAATTGAATGTCCTCAACCCAGGGACAGAAAGTTGTGACACCAGAGTGGCAGTGGAACAGCAGCAGCAGAGCGAAGAGCCAGAGCATGAACCAGAGCAGTGGGCTTCCCAGCCCACAGAGCAAGTATAACTGAATGACTTTGGGTAGGAGGCTTGTTTTAGATTAGGGTGTCTACAGGCACTTATGTGGAGGAGCTACATTTGTTGGCCAATGGAACTTGAGCCAAGTGCCTTCAGGCCGAGGCTTAAGGTAGCGTGGTCTGTCCTGTGGGCATTTATCACCACAAGCTAATGGACCGACTGTGCCCTGAGCATTTTCTGATCCTATGTTGTATCCTCTTAACTTCCCTAATAAACCACATAACTGTGAGTATGGTGTCTGAGTCCTGTTTCCACGGCACTGAATTATCAAATCCACAGAGAAGCAGAGAGTAGTGTTGTGGTAGAAATGGTTGGTGCCATAATTTTTGCAATTGATATCTTACATTAACTCATACATTAGTTATAATGAATGAACAAATATTGGTTCATTATCACTTACTAAAATCCATACTGTAGCCAGATAGTTTAAGTTTTTATCTAGTGTCTCTTTTCTATTCCCACATTCCATCTAGAATACCATTTCACCTTTAGACATCATGTCTCCTTGGGCTCTTTTTGCTCTGACAGCTTTTAAGACATTTTTCAGACCATTACTCAGCCATTTCTTGAGTGTTCTGTGTAGTAGTGATCAGGTATTTGGTAGATATTTCTCTACTAGAATTTATATAATATTTTTCTCATGGTTTGACTGGGTTTCTAAGTTTTGGGAGCGAAGACCACAAGGTGTAATTTTCATCACACTATTTCAAAGGTATGTACTATCAAGATGATCACATTGGCTTTGATCACTTGGGTGAGTTCAGTTTATCAGGTTCCTCTACATTAAAGTTATTCACTATTTGTTTCCCTTACCATACTGTACTCTTTCAAAGGAAGTTACTATGTACAGCCATACTTCATTTCTCATGAAATTACTTCATGCAAAAATCAAGAGTGGTTAGGAGCATGAAGTTTTTGGTACTGTAAAATCATGAACTTTGGCTTTAACCTAGTCTCTTACAAGTTTTGTGAATTTGCTTAGTTACTTTAGATTACGTTAGCCTTTCCATGTTGTAAGTATTTCAGTATGAAAGATTAGATTGGAAACAAAATAGGATTGTTTTGAGAATAAAATGATCAATGCCAGCTCCTTGATATACTCTCTTAAAGAACTATCAATCATCACCACCGTTACCAACAATGATACATTATCTTAAATGTCTATAGCATGTGATCTCATTAGAAGCATCAGTAATGGGCAATTTGGTAGAAACAGTCATTTTTATTCTCCAACGTTTCTGTAAAGCAGGAATGTTTCTCGGACATATTGTCATTCATCCAAAGATCAACAGTTAACTTTTGTCCAGTGGCTTTTCCTCACAAAATGATGTCTTAATTTTTTATAATGAAAATGAGATTAGATATGCTCCATGAAAAGCACATGAAACATTAAGTTTCTTATAAAAAGTAAAAGCAAACTCAATCTTGTTGAAGATATTCCAAACGAATTTGACAACATAAATTACTTGCTAAACTAGTAATATTTAGAGCTGATTTTAATTTTTATTATTTCAAAGATTGTTGTACTTACCATTCTAATAAAGGTAATGAGAAGTAGTTTTATAAATTAGATTTTTATTAGTGTTTATCAATTAAAGAATGATATGATTTTTCAGGCACAGAAATTATTATAACATTCTGTTTTACATTTGTTTTCATTTCAGTGTGAACAGAACATGCTGCTCACTTCTTTGTCCAATGGCAACTGCAATGGTGAGTAATTTATCCAAAAAACGAACTCTAAAAGGAGCTCTGGTACCGTATTGGTTACGAATCGGGCTGTGAGCCCCAAGGTCAGCCATTCGAAACTACCAGTGGGAGAAAGATGAGGGGGTCTGCTCCCGTAAAGATTTACAGCCTCGGAAACCCTGTGTAGGGTTGCTATGAGTCGGAACTGACTCCACGGCACATAACAACAACAACAATTGGGAAACAACCAGCGAATTTAATATTCTTTGTTACCTCCTCTTTCCTTTTTTTCCATTGCCTTTCTTCCTGTTCTTTATTCTTGCCTCCTCTAATTTCCTCCTTCTCTTATTTCTCCTACTCTTCTTCTTCATCCTTCTCTCTTTTCCAGCTCTCCACTCTTTTTTCCCCTTCCTTTCCCACTATTATATTCTTGAGTGGACAGATGAGAGACATTGTAAAAGTCTTGCTGTCTCTTTGTGGCCATACACTAGGCTATAAGGCAAGTTTCAACACAATTCAAGTAAGGGATATTATATAGAATGGTTTTCTGATCACCATACAATTTTCTCGAGAAATATAAAAGAAAGACATTTATAAAAATGATAGCTTGAAAGTTCTCATACATCTAGAAATTAGAAAATACTCTTTCCAATTACTTATTGATCAAAGAAGAAATCATATTGAAAATTAGAAGAATTTTCTAATTATAATAAATTATAAAGAAAATAGGGTATACTAAAACTTAGGGGATATAGCTAAAGTACTGTTGTTGATTTTTTTAAGTTTTTATTGTGAATTGAGTGATGGGTTTACATGGGAGAATATCAGTTTTACACTTATTGTTTCATTGCAATGATTCCACTCCCCTCCATGCATCATCATTCAACAGTATTTGTTTCAATTCCCTCTGTTGTTGTTGTTATGTTTTTGTTTGTTTGGTTTTTTTTTTGTTGTTGTTGTTGTTGTTTTTTTCTTTGGTTGGCGGGTGTACACAAAAACACTCAGGAATATATAATCATTTAAACAACCAAGGGCACATTCTGCAAGCCTGCCTCTTGGCCACCAGCAAACACTCTTTCTCTTTCCATGAGTCCAGAGTCCTCAGCTGCATCCTCTCTCCATGTCCTCATCTCTGCCATAGCTAAAGCATTGTTTAAAGGGAAATTTATATATTAAATGGCATTGTGTATATTAGAAAAGAAATTTAAAAATGAATGATTTAAGTATCTCTGCCAAGAGTCCTTGTGTGGCACTGTGGGTTAATGCACTGGACTGCAAGGTCAGATTGAACCACAAGGTTGGCAGTTCAAACTCACAAGCCACTACTCAGAAACCCTATACAGAGTCACAATGAGTTGGGGCTGACTTGACAGTACTTAACAACAACAACAGCAACCAAGAGGCTAAAAATGAAAAATGATTATAACAAAAATGTTGTTGTTGTAGTTGTTAGATGCCATCAAGTTGATAACTCATAGCGACCTTATGCACAGCAGAATGAAACACTGCCCGATCCTGGGCCAACCTCACTCCTTTTGCCATGTTTGAGCCTATCAATACAGCCACTTGGCAAATCCATCTCGCTGGGGGTGGATAGCAAAAATAACAGGGAGGAAATAATAATCAAAGAAGTAGAAATTAATTAGATAGAAAAAAATGATTGAGAAGATCAAGAAAGCAAATCATGTTATTTGAAAAAAAATGACTAGACAAGACTGAAAAGACTGACATCATATAAAAAGAGAGGAAAAAGTCATTAAAAAGACAAGATTGAAAGAAAAGATCAACATTGATGTCTGAAGAGACTCTAAATAAGATTTTCTGTGGAATGTCAAGTAACTAAAGTGAAAGGAAGAAATGATGACATAAAAGAGCTGAAAAGGTGATTTCAAAAGGGAAGCTCTGGAAGGCAAAGAAAAGTGAATAAAATGAACAAAGACCTGGAATTAGTAAATCAAAAGTGAAGAACATTCTCAGCATTTCTCAGAAAAGAAGAACTGAAGAAAAACACTTAAAAATTGTGATATTGAAAGAGAGAAAGACAAAACTTTCTATTCCTGTAAAGGTTTATCAGGAATAGAAACCCTATACAAGGTTGCCATGAATTGGAACCTACTCAACGGCACCTAACAGCAATAACGTAGGGTAAAATATTGACTGACACAGGATGCATTGGAAGAAAATGGAATGAATGCATGTAGTCACTGTACAAAAAATAATTGGTCAATTGTGATCAAGAAGAGATGGAATTGTAGTAAAAGTCCAAGTTGCACTGGAGGGACTGGCAAAAGCAGCTCCTGGAAATAATGGAATACCAGTGGAGATATTTTAACAACTAACTGGTGCAGTGCTCACTCCTTAATGCCAGGAAATTTAGAAGACAGTTACCTGCTCAACTGAATGAAAGAGATCCATATACATATCCTTTCTAAAGAAAGATGATCCAGAAAAATGTAGAAATTAATTGACAATGTCATTAATATCACACACAAGTAAAATTTGCAGTAGGACATCAACAGGGAACTGCCAGAAATGCAAGCCAGATTTAGAAGAGGTGTGGAATGAAGAATATCATTGGTGATGTTCGATGGTTCTTGGCTATAAGCAATGAATACTAGAAAGATGTTTGCCTGACTATGCAAAGGCATTCAACTCTGCGGATCATAACAAGTTATGGATAACATTGCAAAGAATGAGAATATCAGACTGCTTACTTGTGCTCGTGTGAAATCTATACATAGACCAAGAGGCAGTTATTTGAGCAGAGCAAGGAGAGATACTGTATGATTTAAATGCAGGAAAAGTGTGCATCAGTTTGTATTCTGTTCACCATGCTTATTCAATCTGCATGCTGGGCAATTATAAAGAATGTGATGTCAAGATTAGAAGAAGATTCTTTAACAACCTGTGATATGCAGATGGTACAACTTTGCTAAAGTGAAAAGGTCTGGAAGCATTTACTGATGAAGATCAAAGACTACAGTCTTCAGTATGGATTACACTTCAACATAAAGAAAACCAAAATTCTCACAACTGGACCAATGAGCAGCATCATGATAGAAGGAGAAAACATTGAAGTTGTCAATTATTTCATTTTTCTTGGATTCATAATCAATCCCCATGGAACCAGCAGTCAAGCAAACAAACAACATATTACATTGGGCAAATCTGCTGCAAAAGACTTCTTTAAAGACGTAAAAGCAAAGATATTATTTTGAGGAGTAAAGCACTCCTGACCCAAGCTGTGATTTTTTTTTTCAATCATTTTATATGCATGCAAAAGGTGGTCAATGAATAAATAAGACCTAAAAAGATGGCACTTAACAACAACAACTGATGCTTTTGAATTATGGTTTTGGAAAAGAATATTGATAGTTTATGATATATTGAATATATCATAGACTGCCAGAAGAATGGAAGAAGTACAGCCAGAATGTTTCTTAGAAGCAAGAATGGCAAGATTCTGTCTTGTGTACTTTAGACATGTTAACAGGAGGGACCACTCCTTGGAGCAAGACGTCATGCTTTGTAGAGTCAGCAAAATAGAGGGAAATCCACAAGATGAGATGGAGAGACACAGTGGCTGTACCAGCAGGCTCAATCACAGAAATGATTGTGAGGATGGTGCAGGACTTGGCAACGTTGCATTCTGTTGTGAATAGAGTTGCTATGAGCTGGAACCAGCTCCAAAGTCCCTATCAACAACAAGAAGACTGAAAAGGCAAAAGAGTTATGGCATAAGTAACAAATATCAGGAACAAAAGAAGAAATATTACTACAGTTCTGTTATGGATTGAATTTAGCCCTTCCAAAGTTTGTTGAAATCTTAACTCCTATACCTGTGGATGTACTATTAAACATCAAATTTAATCATCCTGGCCTCTGAGCCTTTATTTTGATTTTCTAGAAGGAGGCTTGGTGGTATAATGGGTTAAACATTGGACTGCTAACTGGACATTTAGAGATTCAAATCTACCAGCTGCTCCACAGAAGAACGATAAGACTATCTAGTTCTATAAAGATTTACAGTCTTGAAACCTTATAAGACCACTGTGAGTTGGAATCAACTTGATGGCAGTGGGTGACTAGAACACTCTTCAGTCTCTGACATCTAAATCTTATACTCTCTTTAAACTGTATGGAGAAATAAGAAAATTGAAGGGACACATTCCTTGCAGTCCTGTTGGCTAGAAAAAAAATATGCAGACAAGAAGTCAGTCAATCCACACAGGTTTATATATAGTTGATTACTGCTGGGAATTTTATATGTAATGTAAAATGGAAATCTTAGTCATAATGAAACAGTTACCCCAGGCTTCGCTTGATCACATATTGCCTTATATGTATATAGAGTTGTTTTATTTGTATATATTTTCTTCCTTTCTAGATTCTGAATTTGAGTAATATGTTTTCAGTTTCCATTGCTATATACTTCATTGCCAAGGAACACTTAATTAATGAAAATTATAATAAAGGATACTTACATAGCATGAAACCATTTTCAAAGGGCATTCTTCTGAATAACATTGAAATAGGTAATAAATAAATACCCAACCGCTCGTCTGTCAGTTTGTCATACACTGGTGGCTTGTGAGTTGCTGTGAGTCTGAAAGCTATGCCACCAGCATTTTAAATACCAGGAGGGTCACCCATGGTGGACAGATTTCAGATGAGCTTGTAGAGGAAGACAAACTAGGAAGAAGGAGTGATGAACTACTTCTGAATATTTAGTCACTGAAAACCTTATGAATAACAGAGAGACATTGTCAGATATAGTGTCAGAAAATGAGCCACTCAGGATGGAAGGCACTCAAAATGTGACTTGACCATGATGATGCTAGTGGAGTAAAGCCCGTGGGAGAAAAGCCCACTGGACCTTCATTTGCTGATGGGGCACAACACAAAATGAAGAGAAATAGCTGTAAACATCCCGTGAAAATCATAACATGGAATGTATGAAGTATGAATCTGGGGAAATGGAAGTTGTCAAAAATGAAACGGAACGCATAAACATCAATATCTTA